CATTACCCATTTAAGCCGTCTCCAGCCATTATTAGTCTCAAAGTGGGTTCCGCGTCATCTAATTTGAATTCATCACGGCGATTAATCGAGGTTGTGTAAGTCTTCAGCCATTTTACATTTATTTGTCCAACTCACTGAATGATCTAAATCCTTTTGTAAATCAGCAGCATCCTCTACACATCTTGCAACACCCAAGACTTTAATATCATCTGGAAATTTAAGTAATTTATTGACTATTCCTTCATCTATGTCATTGGTGTAAATCAAAAAGAGCAAAAGTCCTAAGCCCTGAGGTACTCCACTTGAGATATTAATCCAGTTTCACTGAAATTCATTTGTAATAACCCTCTGCTTTCTTCCATCCAGCCACTCTTCAATCCAATTTGCTAACTTATCCCCCACACCTATAGAGCTATTTTGTTTTACAAGCCTTTTATGTGGCACCTTGTCAAATGCTTTCTGAAAATCCAGATACACCAAATCTACACCTTTATCCTCATCTACATAAGCAGTAACATTTTCAAAGAATATCAAAAAATGTGTAAGGCAAGATTTTCCCTTAGTGAAACCATGTTGACTATCCAACAAAATTCTAAACTTTGTTAAATGTCTTTGCAAAGCATCTTTAACAGACTTTCCAAAACTTTTCCTACAACTGATGTAAGACTAATGGGTCTATAATCACAGACTATAATCTATAATCTAGGACAATTTTTATCATCTCCCTTGAAAAGAGGAGTTACATTAACTAACTTCCAATCCTCTAGTACATGCCCATTATTCAAGGACTGACAAAAAACAGTAGTAAGTGGCTTACACATCCAATCTTTAACCTCCTTGAAAACCCTTGGGGAAATATTATTTGGCCCAGGAGCCGTATTGTTTTTAAACTTCCCAATGTTTTCTTAACAAGCTCAGAATTAATGCAGTCATCTTGTTTCCATTTATCAACTGCTTAAAATATGGAATACTGCTTAAATCTTCATTAGTAAAAAAAAACTAAAGAAAAATCAAAGTTTAGTAACCCAGCCATTTCATAACCATCAGATACTAGCCTTCCTTTATCATCACTCAAGGGTCCTACCCCCCATCTTAAAAATTTTGTTTACCCTTAATATGTTTAAAGAAATCCTTACTGTTAATTTTTATATTTTTAGCCAACCTTTTCTCACACATCCTTTTTGATGTCCTAATTTCCTGTTTCACCAACTTTCTTGATCTTCTATAATCTTCTAAGTCTCCTATCATACTAGTCAATTTAAATTTCTTAAACTTATGATGCTTTTCTTTAATTTTTATCTCTTAATCTCTTTGAGAGCCAACATGGACTTTTACTTGCAGCTACCCTTTTCTTTCTATATGGAATAACTTTAACTTGAATATTTAAAAATTTATCTTTGCAGAATGTGACTTTGTTTAGAGGATTTAAATATTTAATAAATCTTTCTGAATGATCTACAACTATTCCTAAGGCATTATATAAAAATGTCAGAATTGGTATTTACGTCTAAACAGTTCACATTTCCAATGAATTTTTGGCTGTTTATTAAATGTGTTTTTAATATATAAAAAACAAACCAAGGTTTGGGTAAATGTGAAATTCACATGTTAACTTGTAACTGACAAGTGCTTGGAAGCTGTCATTAGGTTTTAAAAAAGAAAAAGAAGAAACAGTTTATAATGCATCAGATTCCAATGTTTGACACTGAAATGTCAAACTATTTCTTGAACTGAATGTTTAAACATATATTTGTACTTTTTCCAGCCACTGTCATTAATTTTCAATATTGCAAAGGATATTTTGCTATGGCATACTGAGAATAACTGGAGAGTTATAGTTTCTTTCCACTAAAATCATAAATATGTACAGTGGTGATGAACATTTACACACAAATTTCAATCTTTTTGCAATCCAGAAGTGTGAAATTTCTGGAAAAAACAACAAAAACTTGCTGTCCAAAGTACAGAAAATTTCACCTGCTTTCTGAAAATGTATACTTGCCCCCTCAACATCCACAGAGAAGTAAATATAACTTTTAGGATTTTGCTTTATTTAATAGAGAACAGTGAAAAATGAAACTTTGGGGTTTACTCAACAAATAAGTAAAATAAAATGTACAGATGACCCAACTGTTAGCCAAAGAATTGGGCAAAGTACTCTTTTACAATTTCAAACTTGTGTATATAATTATATAGTTTTGAAGATTAGAGGTATATATTTTTAAGTGTTAGTGTATATGTGCTACATTTCTAGACATAAAAAAATTTAGAACTTGTGTTGCTCCCTACAAATTTACCCATTTTTTTTAACAATAGAACACATGACATATGAAAAAAAACTACTTATCTAACAGACAGAGTATATTAACATTTTGTTGTTCTGAGCTAACAGGCAGAGTATATTAAAATCTTGCTGTTCTGAGCTAACAGGCAGAGTATATCAAAATCTTGTTGTTCTGAGCATTAGGCAAAACCAATACCTGTGATAAACATTTATAAATTAAGATTACTGATTGTGTCTTCCATTAAGTTTTATATATTAATTTTTAATGAAGATGATATAGAAAAATGCTTAAATTTGTAGATAATATAACCTGTGCTGTTGTTAGAGTACAATAACACAGACTCTTATTATTTTATCTGATAATGTTAGAATATAATGGTGTGTAATCTACTGTTTTATAATAATAGTGTTTCATCTCATGTTACATTACATAAAAGTTCAATTTAGTGAATTTAAAGAGCCCACAGAGTTTAATCATTTGTTACAATACAAATGTCTACAAAGATTTTAACTACTACTATTTCAATACAAGGGTGTATCTTGTATTTATCAGAAGACAAGAAACTACTTGTATTTAATCAGCTTTTATTACAATAAAAAAGTATTAATGTTTAACTCCTTGAGAACCAGGCCTGTCAATTCGACACACCTGTTGTATGGTTTGTAATTACTGCACTGTAAAAAAAAAACTATGGATGAAAAAGTTTTCAATTTCAGAAAAACTTTCTACAGATTATGTAGCTTCTGCAAGTAAAATATTTTTTTGTGATACTTGTATGAATTTGTGGCTTTGAAATTTCAAAAATCTTTTACTATGATACTCTTACTTTTGTTGTAGATTTTAATTATGATTAATTATGTATTTCCTACATTCTTATAAAACTTTCCTATAAAGTGTCTATTTTATAAAAAAAAATTTAAATTATATTTTGAGTCTAAAATAATGCATGTAGTTTTTCTGTTTTACAATCACTGGTGTACAATAAAAATAACTATCATTATACCATTACACTAGAAAGTTAAAAAACATTAAGTGGCTAAAAACCTCTATAAAACTAAACTTTTATTCAAGTTACAAGAATTACAAAAATTAATGCTATTTTAGTCAAAACTAATGTGACTTACTACCTAGAGGGCTATGAATGCTATATTATGCTCAGAAAAGATTCAGGAAATTCAAAAACAGAAATGATATTGAGAGAACATTGAAACCAACCCTTAGTCAACATATATAATTTCTTTACATTTTCAATGTCAGGAAAAATGACTACAAATTTATTTTACATAATTTTCTAATTCCCTGGTGCAATTTTGTCCTTGAGGCAGACTACACCCATCTAGATGTGAAAGAGTTATTAAGTTGATGTTACAATACAAAGTCCTAAGTGTGTTTAGGTAATTGCTGTTAAATTACAAGAGCCTACAAGTATCTAATTAATTGATGTTTACAATGCAATGCCTCATGTGCTACTGCAACTGTTTTCACACAATGATAGTGTATTTATCTTTAAGCTGGTGGAATTGATAAAATAGGATTTTTAAATTTTTATATATCCATGGAATAACAAAATGTATTGTTGATTCAATTTGAACAGAGGTTTGTGTTTGATATGCTAGTGTTATAATGTTCAATTATCATGCATACATGATGGATTAAAAGTGTGCTGCAGTGTTACGAGTGTTTCTAGAACTGCCATACTTATTCAATGGGTTACAAGTATTTTTACTTTATTCATTTATTGCAGTTATTCTGTAATAAATAGGAGAAGTATGACTGTACCTGTCTGTCTTTCAATTGGGTGGAGGAAATAAGAGATCGAATTCCACTTTCTCCTTCACTAAACAGCAGTACCTCAACATCTACTTGACCAAATCTTTCCACTAAGTACAATAAGAAAAACAACATATTCTAAGAACCATGTTCATTTACATTAATAAAAAAGGGGATAATCTTAATGAATCCCATAACTTTCTGTGATATTATGAAAGATTAAGTTCCAACACTTATTTCAAGTTTAAACACAATGTGTTGGACATTCTTTCACTCACATGCCAGCATAATGAATGTATATTTATGGAACTATAGGTTATGATATAAAACAGCAATTATCTACTGACTTCCCTCATGCATGTTTACAAAAACTTATTAAATGAAAGAATGACAAAAGGTTATTTTGAAATTTTAATTTGATCATATAAGGAAATTAAAAACAGGAATGAAAAACTTATTATACTTTAACAAACCTTCTACAGCTTTAGTGCTAATACACACTGTACAATTTTCTTTTAAGTCTAAAGTGTAGTGATGACTAGATATTCTTCCATCATCTTCTACAAAGAAAAATCCTCGGGATATCACCTTATTGCAATCCTTGAAGAAGAAAAAAACAAACTCAATAACAATACACTTTATGAGAGCTACATTAAACCTGAGTTTAATTTTGCTAATTACAAGGAAAGTGTCATGATGCAAATACTTGAATGAGTGTTATTCCACAAGATATGAGAAGAAAAACGTGGATAAATGTTACTGAAGAATAAATTGACACGTCTAAATGAAAAATTTTCTAGTTTATTCTGTGTGACATTTCGAGTAGATGCACTTTGTCAGGTAGTAAAGATTGTGTTACAATGGAATTAGGCTCAAAAATAATATTAAAAGGTGTGAAAATACAAAGGTTCTAATTACACACATTCAGGTAATTATTCAACCTGCAGAGAGAAGATGTCAAACAGTTTCAGTAACATAAAGATATTTGATACACTGAAGCACACTTTTATGCAGTCAGTCAGTATGTAAGGCCTGTCCAGGAGAGGTATAGAAAGCCATCTTGTCTTCCATTGATAAAGTTTGTCATCAAAAATATCAGAATTTGCAAATCTTCCCTGTAAAAATCTATATCCTGTCTGATATCAGAGATAGAAAACTCTTTCCTCCTCCTTTCTGTTGAGTGAGCTTTGCAATCTCAACGTGTGCTCTTATTCTCTTTATTTACAGTCTCTCCTTCTCTTCTTCCTCTACATGTGCTCTTATTCTTCCTCTCTCTATTTCCAGTCTTTCGTTTCTCTCCTTTTCTTCTTTCTCGCTTTGTGCTCTTATTCTTTTCTCTCTATTTCCAGTCTTTCCTTCTCTCATTTTCTTCTTTTAGTCTTTCTTCCTATCTTCTCTCTAGTTCTTGTTGTTGTTTAACAAACTCTCATAGTTCACTGTCTTTTAACCAAAGACACTCACCTCTTTCTATCCATTTATCAAAATCTGTTGACATGATTATATAGCGTGAATGTAATCTCTACATTATTTTTGCTACCACTACCAATTATTGTATATAGGCTAACTTATTCCCACTGTCGTTAATGTATTCTTTCACCACCGTTTACCACTGTATAATCCTGGCTGACTCTCCAAATGTTGAGGTTTTAAGTATATGGGCTGGGATTCTTCTATAGCAGGTATCTGTGACTTGTGGGGGACAAATCTTGGGAAACTGAAGGATCAAAATGAATAAAAAGACAATTTCTAGCACCTCAAAAGGAGTTAGTGTGAGTCACATAACACCTCAGGTTCCTAACGGGACATAACAAATGATCAGGATCCAAGCGGTGATAGAGATGATAAATAGCCGGCTAATGAATTGGGGAAAAGGATTTATCCCCTTCGCTGGCTGCCAGAGTCTTAGGAAAGAATGACCTAACTGAGTATAACAGGACACAATTAGAATGATAGGGTCCTGTGTAGATGCTGTGCAAACAGCTCTGATCTATGATGTCCACAGGCCAGAAGCAACAAAAAATACATTTTAAGGGAAAGGTGATACATAGTACATGAGGCTAAAGGCTTGAATGGATGTTGAGACAAAGCGTGTAATGCCACCTTAATATCCCAGTTAGGTAATTGAAGAGGCCTTTTGGGACAAAAAATGGGAAACGATTTGAGAAAACCGGTAAGCACTGGGAACTGAAATAATTTCTAATGTTGAGAATACTAAAAAGTAGTCAATAAAGCTGCCTTATATAAGGCGATAGTAGACGGAGCTAGGTCTTTGTCAAAAAAGCCAGATATGGTTGGCACGTTTGGGTAAAGTGGGTTCAATTTCCTTGTGAGACACCACTGGCGATAAGTGTGCCATTTCCTTTGATAAATGGTCACTGTGGGTCTACAAAGAGATTGAGGCAAATACAGGGCAACTTTAGAAGTTAAACCCAGATGCTGTGTGAAGGAACACATAATTTCCATTCATGAAGTTTGAGCTTCGGAATGTTTTGGTGTAGAATGTCGGATTGAGGTTGCCTAAACAGAGATGGCCAAAAAGGAAGAGGCAGAGGTAGACTACCAACAGCACTCAACAAGGAATGAATTGAACCATAGCTAGAACTCTGGGTAACAGATGAATCAGGGGGAAGATATAGAGGTGCAATCCCGTTCAATCTTGACTGAATACATCTATCACCAAAGCCCGAGGATGAGGTACTGGGGACCAGGTAACTGGAATGGTCATTTGGGACCAATTATCCCAAATGATGTGAGGAATTTGGAGAATACTGAGGACTCAAAGGAAGTAGGTAGTTGCAATAATTGAATGGTAGTTGATAAGGCTGCCATAAACAATGGGGACTGTGGAAGATGCAAAAACATCTGTCAAAAAGAACCAAGTCAAAAATCGAGGTAGTGGTTGACACCTCTGATTGAAAAGGGTTCCACCTCCTCGCAATACAACATTGCCAGTATGCATGTCATTACCTGTGAGAAAAGTGACTTTTGGACAAAGCAGAAACTGAGCCAGTTACATGTCAACCTTAGAAATTAAACCCCAATTCCAAGTAAATGACAGCATAACCTCTGTGCTTCAGCTTCTGAATATCTTAGTGCAGTTCACGGTTGCCTCCACAGAAAGAGTCTAAAATGAAGTGGAAGAGTAGAACACACTGGAAGGGAACACAGAAGCAGAAACCCAGGTGTAGCTGCCAATCTGGTGTGATCAACAGGATCTGACAATGGGTTGGAACAATTCACATTTCGTACCCTGGGTAACATATGAAGTGTAGAGGAGGTTGAGAATGGTAATCCTGTCCTGTCCAGATGTAAAGCATCTGTTGACAAGGCCCAAAGATGAGGTACTGGAGACCAAATTGCCAGTATCTGGGTGATCCAATGAGAGGCCAACACAACAATTAGAGTTGCAAAATGAGAGGCAATCTAACTAAACCTTGTGATGCAAAATATATTATGTCGAGAGAATCTGTTTGGATTGAGACAATAGACCTGCTACCACAGACATCATCCAGGGAACATGACAATCTAGTAGGGTGATAAGATTAGTCCCGAGAAAGGAGGCCCAAAATTCGAGAATAAGGAGACCTAGACCATATATCTCCTTTATGAGAAACATAACACACAACTCCGGAATAATCAGAGTAAAGTCTGAATATTTACCTCTTAAGAAGCCCAAACCATGAGACCTTGCCTGTTGAAGAGCAAGAGAGCGAAAACATTGTGTAGGGAATCCTTATCATCCATGCATAGACTCTGGAATTCCTGACTGTTGGTATGTGTACCCCATCACTGAACTCAGACATTCATGAATAAATAGAAACTCTGGATGAGGTGGCAGTAAAGGAACCCAATTTGTTGTAACTTTTCAACTTAACCCCTCGAGATTGATAATGATTCCAAATGGGAAAACCAGGAAATAGATGTGTACAATCCCTGGTCTCGTAAATACCAATAAAAGAATCACTTGTGTTCTCATCCCAAAGGCATGAAGGATTCAATTAATTCCCACATTCCCAAAAGAGAAAGAACAACCTGTGTAGTGGGAGAAGTAAAGGTGAGTAAGAGTGTGGCATCCTATTCTGCAGAATGGGAGACAGCTGAGCCCAACTGAGAGATGAGATTAAAAATTAAAAATACTCAGACTCATGACATACTGAATTGCAGCAAGAGCAGATGTTGCATAAAAAGAAGCCTGCCTGAGTTGTATTTGAAAGTAAAACAGGATGTGATGGTCTAGCAATTGATGAGATGTTGCCAGCAGTAACCAGTCATCCATGGAATGGTGTGTGCACAGTACAATGGAATGAAGGGATGAGAAAACTCATACGATACAGCAGAACCTGACCCTTATGCATCACAAACACTAACAGTGGCGGGACTCCATCACTAAGGCAAAGTGCAGATAGGAGCCGATTACAACCAAGTTGGACATCTACAATCGCATTTTAAAAATCATCGCAGATTGGGGAATGATTAATTTGTGAACCTTGGAGAATCTAGGTACTAATATGAACAAAGCAGATCGATTACTAAACACCAATCTCCTGCCTTCATAGGCCCAACAACTAACAGGAATAAAAACTGAAGAACTAGCATGAATCTCTCATTACTCCCAGCTCAACCAGACTCAGATAACCCTAGAACTAAGGGAAAAGGAAACCCTACAGATAGGGTGGATAATAGTGGGGCAGATGTGAACTGAATGACCAATTGTAACCAACGAACTTGCAGAGGTTCTGGAATGATGATTAAGTTTACCACATGTCCAGGAATTCTTGGAACCGAGCCCCCACAGCTCCTGAAGGTGTACAATAATCACCAACATTGCTGGCAATCTGAATAAGCAGTGGAAACCTTGGATGTAGACAGAATTTATTCTGAGTACCAATGTACCACGGAGCTGATGCCGGGGATTGGTACTCATGAATAAGAGCAGAACTATGATCCCTTGTAGGAGCTGATGAAATTCGAGACTCCAACAGCAACTGGAAGATATGTGGAAACCAAAAATTGAACCAACGTGAATGCTAACAATAGATGCAGCTTGTCCTCAATGAAACTGGTGATCCTGAGAGTCTTCTAACAAAGTGAAGTGAAAGGAGACAAGTTGAACTATAAGTTCGTAGATTTACTCTGTCCCATCGGGGGACATAGACCTATATAGATGAACAACAAAATCCACCATAGAGCCCCTAAATTTGAGGAGCAGATATTATTTGAGAGTCAGAAAAATACTTCCACCTGGTTGTGGTAGGTGATATTTCAGAGTTTCGACAGCATGTCAGGTAAGGCCTAAATGTCCCTTCATGTAACTAAGAAGTAAACCTTCCAGTATAAATCCACAATTTCTGTGTATGGAGAGAAAAAAAATTCTCTCCCAGACCTTTCAGCCATAAATTAAGTTGAAGGCTCAAAAGCAACTGGGAAAACACCAAAAAATCACACACTTGAAGAACCAACAGAAGAAAAACAAATCAAAGGCAGCTTCTACCAAAGAGGTCTCCTTTTTTGTTTTTCATAGGTCATTTAAATACTGTGGTAAAGTAAGTTGTTTTGTTAAGAGAAAAGCAACTGCAGGCCATTTGACACATCCATCCTAA